TCAGGAAGGCAACACACAAGAAGGAACTAATTGTTAATAAAAGAAAACCTGAGGCAGAAGTTCCCTTCCACCATCTGCCCACAACAACCTGCTGGTCCATTTAACAGTCCTGGTTTCACTGGTCTGGAGCCCAGCCAGGCTGGTCTCTGCATCCTCCCCTAGCCCAGCCCAGGGCTGAGCATCTCCCCTCCTCCCAGCCCTTTCCTGGGGAGTCCCTCACCCCCAAAGCCCACCCTGAACCCCACTCCAGCCCTGGGGTGATGAAGAACCCCCTCCTGCAGCAGCCTGGGGACCCCTCAGTCCTGCTGGAACCAGAGCACCCCAGAAAACCTCCACCCTGAGCCTGGCAGAGCTGCCCCTGCCTGCCAGCCTAACAAAGCTGCAGGGGGGGGGATTTTCTTGCAGCCCAAGGAAAGAGCAACACACAAAAAAAGGCTCCTGGGAGGTGAGAGAGGCCAGGGAAGGCCCAGGAACCTCCCCAGGAACCTCCCCAGGAACCTCCCCAGGAACCTCCCCAGGTCCCTACGAGGCTCCTGCTCCACCCAAAGCTCCCCAGGGTGCTGGTTCCCAGCAGCTCCAGCCTCTCCCACTGCTTCCCAGGAGCTCAGGAGCCCTGAGTGTGGGGGTCACACTCCTCCTGCTCCCCCCAGTGCCCTGCAGACCCTTCCCTTCCATGCAGACCCCAGGTCTTCCAGCCCCCCCCCTCCTGCCCTGCTCACTGTGACCACCTCTCTGGCATCTCAGCATCACCAAGCCCCAGGATTCAAACCCTGGGCAGGAAACCACTTGGGATGGTGTGACCTGTCCCAGGACAGGGCTGGGATCCCACAGCCCAGGGTGTTCCTGGGCCTGTTCCCTCCCTCCATCCAGCAGTGGGGGCTTCGTGGCCACAGCTCCTGCCTGCAGCCCTGGGGGGCAGAACCTGCACCATTCCCTGCCCCTCTGGAGATCCCAGGCAGGAACCAGCAGGACCAGCCCCTCTCCCTGCTCCCCAAAAGCAGGTGACACCTCCAGTGGAGCCAGGACATGGCTGCTCTGCCCCAGCACCTGTGAGATCAAGGGGAGGTGAGAGAAGAGGGGCTCAGAAACCCACCCACACCTGGGCAGAGGTGGTGAAGGGGCCACCAGCCCTTCCCCAGGCCATGGACACCTCGTGTGGCCCCGTGGCCACCAGGTCTGCACTGGGACAAGCCCTGGAGATGGGAGCCATGGGCTTGGACCAGCCAGAAAGCTCCTCCAGTTCCTCCTGCTCAGCTTCAGTCCAGGACCAAGACAATTGATCCAGAGGGAGCTGGGGCTGAGCTGCTCCCAGGGGCTGCAGGAGGGGCCTGGGGGCTCCTCCATCCCACACCTGGGATGTGGGTGTCCAAGGATCACCCAATCCCAGCCCAGTGGGGGGTGGAAGGGACCCAGATCACCCAGTGCCACCCCCTGCCAATGGCAGGGACACTGCTCCTGGGTCTGGGGGCTCCTGCACCCTGATGCTTCTCCCCTGGGATCAGCAGCCCCCCCTGAGCTCAGAGCCTGGGCCAGCAGTGGGGGGACCCAGGGGCTCCCCCAGCCCATGGATGGAGCAGAAGTCCCAGC